ATTCGTTTTTATAGAAAAAGAGAAGAAAAAAATAAAATGGAATAAAAAAAAAAAAAAAAAAGAAAAAAAACAATTGTTTACAAAAAAAAAAAAAAAATAAATAAAATAAAATTACGTTGCAATTTGTATGCATATGTATAATGAGGTGTAGGAAAAAAAATCACGATTGACGTTCAAAATCTTTACTTCTCTATTCTATCTCCTTAATTTTTCATGCTGTTTTTATAATTCTTTCTCTTTTTATTATTTATTGTTACATCGTATAAAAATTACGAGATTACGACGATACGCTTCGTGATGAGCTTTGAATTTTTCCTATTTTTTGTTTCTTACCTCTCTCTCTCTCTCTCTCTCTCTCTCTCTCTCTCTCTCTCTCTCTCTCATTTTGCAAAACTGCCTAAAGTACAAAGTTGCCCCTTTTTGAGGGTGGGGATACTTTGGCCAACAGACTCCATTCTATTCACTCTCCCCATCATTTATGACTAGATTATCGATCTGGCAATTATTACCGATTTTTTAAACTTCAATTTTTGTAAAGACCGTACACTTTGACGAATAAAGATTTCACTTAGGTTATGCACCCCATATAGGCGACCGTTTATAAATTGGCATACAAAATAAAAGCTTGCGATATATATAAATTATAGAATGATCGATGCTTAATCTACTACAGTGCTAACAAATTCTCGTATAAAGCTTACATTTCCCTTTACTTTCCACAATGGCCACATAGTCAAATTTAAAGCTACTTTGCAGAAAAAGCAGAGTCCAGATTTTTTTGTTTTTGTTTTTTTTTCCCCATATAAATTGGAGTAAGAATGGGAAGTTAGCGTCGAAATAAATAATACACTCAACGAAATGAATGAAAAGCTTATTTAGTAGACACGTGTCAATTCACGATACGTACAAAACATATTAAACTTAACACCTCATCTTGTCTCATACATAATTCAGATTCAACAGGGGATTAATTGAAGGTAATTGAAAATCCATGATTTTATCGGACTGTTTACATTTAGACAAAATAGTGTCATCATACTCGATCTTATAAACAACAAATTCAACTGTCTCTTAATGAAACCTTTATTTATTTTCGTAATTTTCCAACTAAACGTCAGACACTTGATAAAATTGAAGAATGTATAAAGCGTGTCATTCGTCTCGAAAAATTTGAAAAAAAATTGACAATCGAAAATGTTTAAAGCAAAATCATCAAAGTATTATATTTCATTTAAGAAGAGTCTTGGCTTTTTAGATACCAATTTTATAATTTCTATGAAAAAAAAAAAAAAAAAAAAAATTTTCATTATTTCAAGTATTATAAAATGTCAAAATAATTCTCTTCCTGTCTCTCTCTCTCTCTCTCTCTCTCTCTCTCTCTCTCTCTCTCTATGACTTTTACAAAAGTTTTGTTTTGCAAAACAACAACCAAATTCCCTTACGGATTAATAAATCTATAGTTTTAATAAATTTAATAATAACTGCGCACGCACGCACGCACGCACGCACGCACGCACAAAATGATCGTTTAATTAAAATTTGCGTTAAATGATATTAATCATATTTTTGTTGAAGTATTAAAAAGCACTTGCACGTGTACTTTTGAACGTATTCAAGAAATTAATATGTGTACGCGGATTAACAAAATTTAACTCAAATACTCGATTATTGAGCGATAGACATAGCGATTCCACTTCAAATGAATTTACTAGAATAACATTGCGCGTTAAAAAAGTTGAGGTCGCAATTATAGATCAATACGTCCAATGTGACGCATATTTATAAAAAAAAAAAATAAAAAAAAAAAAAAAAAAAAAAATTTTTCATAAAAACTCGCGACCATTCGACGTATTCGGTACCTTTGTTTGCGATGGAAAATTTGCGATGTTGTTATTCTCTCCGTAACGAGTATCTGCAGTTGTACGCCAATTCAGACGAATATCCAAAGTAAGTACTTTGGGCATCCCAATTTGACCTTCTTGGTTCAGTGATGTCGATGAAAAGAAAAATAAAATCAAAGGAAAAAGAAAAAGAAAAAGAAAAAAGTCCTTATCTGTGTTAGGCTAACCAAGATTGATTACAAATTTACGTTCCTTTCAGGCTAACTACACCGACAACCTGCTGTACTATGCAATTTTAACATTCGAGATGACAATTGATTTCGCGCAAAATAATCTAATACGACATGTAATTAATAAGAAAATAACCTTACTCGCCGACAAAATCAGACTTTACACTTATCATTTACAAAACTTAGTGTATTATTAGCCGTTAGATTAACAAATGCGAATTAGTCATTTGCCAATAAATCATGCACTACCTCGAGTTATACAATAAAGAAAATCACGATACGGCGACGAATTTATATTTACCGAACTATTTCGAATGTTTTAATTGACGTTTGTATATGCCCTCGTCATTCCGCATGACCAATAATATAACCATTAAATGAATTGGCTTATTTTCCAATTTTATCATAATCATCATCGTTATAAGAATTCAATATGATGTAAATAAACTTCCATCTTGATTATTATCAATTCTGCTATATAATCGATTTATCATATCAAATATAATTTTATCGTGATAATTATAATTACCCTTTTCTTTCTTTCTTTCTTTCTTTCTTTTTCAAATTGACTCCGAAAAACGATATACCCTGATTTGCTTCACTTC